TCTCGGAAGATGATTGACACTTGACATTAAGGGTGCGTTCCTTTGGGAGAATCCGGATCAGGATTTCTGATCTGTAGCGTTCCTTTCGAGCAAATCCATTTTCAGATCAGTGATCTATCAAATGCATTTTGGGAAAAGGATCCGAAATCAATCATTTTGCCTACCGGTGCTCAATTACAAAGAAGTAAGCACTTCAGCTGCTCTATCCGTGACGGCCATCTTGTTTTCGTTTTTAAATTTAGCGCGCAATTCCGCTGAGGCGCTCTACAATTTCCCAGTTGCTGTCATGGTAACTGATGTGATGAACTAAAGCTCCGTTCCTTTGATGCACCGTGATCTGTGTCATCTTGGATTACAAATCCAAATCCGGATCCTCCCAATTTTTAGAAGACAGGACATATTTGATAGTCATGCGCAGCCGACTTCTTCAATAGCACGTGTACCAACGAGGCGCCCTTCAAAAGTAAAACTATGCGCAAATAACATAATAGACACAACTCCTTTCGAAGATTTTCCAAAACCGTCGCTCAAACCTTGTCAGGTATGAAACATCTCAATTTAGTCTCTATTTAAAGAATTTTATCGGATGTTAATTAGGCTAGATTCCGCGGGTAAGAAATGAATTTTCGATAACTTATGGTATGCATGTGATGCATCCCTAACTTTGCTTCCGATAGAGAAGCTACAACACCAGACCGTTATTGTGCAAATTTTTTTGATTCCAAATCTGCAACGCTGTAAAAGGTCCATTCATGTAGTTGTTTCTTTTCAGAAATGTGCGACATAGCGACCATTCCTCTGTGTTTAATGTAAGACAGCAAATATTTTCCGTTCAAAATGCCTACCACCGGACAGAAAATGATCAACACTTTGAGGTTTTTGGCCTTTGTAAGCTACGGAAGACTAGACTTCAATCTTTAAACAACGCTAACGAGCTGTATGCGGGCTCTCCTAAACAAACGCAGTTTTTAAGTCACATTTGGTAGCTGACTAAAATAATTTCGACACGTCCTCTGTGCTAAGAGAATTCTCAGAAGGTTAGGATAATTCTCGAAAGTTATGCAATTCCTTGACAGCCTCTTGCAATCTACCTTTCTCCCAATCCAACCTTCTCTTGTGTTTACCAAGTCTATGTCAACGCAATAAAACCTCTCTATTTTTCAGACATTTCTGGTTAGTTTTCCACAATTTATCGAGACTGTCCCGAGTGATATCTTCATTTGCATGATCCTTCTGAAGATTCCAAGGGCAATTTGGATAAATTAAAACAAAACAAAACAGGCTAAAACTTGATTTTAGATCAGAATAGTAATTTTCCTCTCCTTGCATAAGGGTAGCGACAAGTTTTTCACACATGGTTTGCTCTTCCGTCAGATAACCGATAGTAATTAATATTATGATGTCATAAAGACTAATTAATTGGGACTAAGCTTTAGGTATCAAATCACAAATAGATCACAGTGGTTGAGGTTAAGTTAAGCCTAGAAATCATCATTAAAATGGAGACAGAACTGGATAAAACCTCCATCACTAGGAAATATCGATTCGGCCCGGCTCGAACGGTGAGACATCTGTCAAACCTAATG